AAAGTAGACAAATGCAACAAAAGCCATTACAAATTCTTCCAAGCTAGTCGTTAACTTTCCCACGGGAATTAATCTCGTACTGTGATTGAAATTAACAATATTCTGTTCAGAATACAACGTTATACAATACATCATTTGATAGATTAAAATCTTGACTTTCCATTGGTTATAGGTAATATATAATGAAATGTACGAGAACTATCAACGAATTGTGAAAGAGAGGATGGGACAAGTGGGTGTGGCAGGAGGGGTCTAATTTTCTATTGAATAGCTCTGTCACCAAACAAAATTGAAGTTTATAAAAATTATGGTTTGTCTAAGCAATAACGATTTTATAGAGTAATCTACATTTAACTTTGTACCTTTTCGACGGGTAGTGAATAAAATAGGGATGATGATATGCTAAGAGAAAATGTGTCACGTAGGCCATAATAGTGGAAATTCAGGATTTTTTTAAAAATTGCCTTGTAGAATTAAGAACTTAAAACTTGTATACTATGAAAATATGAATTATTAGCTAAGATTTTATGCTATTCTAATTCGTATAACATAAACGAAAAGTAGTTTAATAAAATTTTGAATGTAAGACACTAAAAACTTTGTGTCATGCGCAGTAAAGTGCACCCAGGCCAATAGGGTTAAAGAGCAAGCATGTTTGGTGACTGGATTCGAACTCGTGATCTGTTGCAGATTGCCAGTCTAGCATCCTAAACACTAGGTCATGTCAGGCCCTTATGCACTTTGAAATGATCAAAATTATATCTACAAACAAACCACAGATTGTGAAAAGTTTTGGTACTACTTAATATGACATTCAAACATAAAATTTTAAACATCACCAAACAAGATTTTGAGAGAAACAATTTAAAGACAACCAATTTATGTTATAACAAATTAAAGATAATTTGTTTTACATTAAATATCATACTATATAATGGCACAATTCACTAATGTTTTGAAAATACTCATGTGCAGACTAAATGTTTAAATATTCCTAGCTCATTACTGTTACCCTCATATAAATAATAATCTACATAAAATTCACTGTGATTGTGTATGCATATGCTGCATAGAGCTAGCCAATCAGTAGAATTTGCTAACTGATTGATTGTCAGGATCCTTATTTATTACATCCAATTAATTAATTATTCTCACACAAGACTGATAGTTGAATTAGTCAAAAATAGTAACAATCACAAACACTAATTTTGATCAGTTGATTATTTGAACTTGAGTTGTGACAATAACTGATTAACTCTCTCAACATGGGCTCGGTCAATCTGACCAACCACATGACCTCCTTGTACTCATTCAAAGTTTTTACAGATTTGATACCACTAATTTTTAATATAGTGTGTATATCTTCACGAAATTTGGCAATCTTTCAGTAAATATCAAGTCTTTCACATACAAAAAATCATATTTTTTTGTGAAGTTTTTTAATAAACTAAAAAAGATTTGTCAATGAATATATCAAGAATTTGTTTTGAATAGTCCGTTTGCAAAGAGATTTTCATGTTAATACTAAAAATACTTTTCTTCGTCTCAAATTTAATTTGTGTGCAATTTCTAAGACCTCCTTAATACATTTCATTTAGTTTTCACTAAAACTTTATATTTTATCTGTTATTTTCGCTACCCTAACTCTATACAGGATCAGCCAACCTCGTAACCACCAAAAAAAAAAGAAAGAAAGAAAGAAATCTAAATTACCCATTTTTCTTTCCAGAATGACTTCAAATGTTACATGAAACTACATTTGTTTATCCTAAGTAGCTTTAAACTCGTAAACATCTATTTATTCTTAAATTATATTATTTTATTACACTTTACACCATGTCTAACTCCTGTTCACACCATTATAAGTTGAAACTCACTTGGGGAATGTGTAGCTCACATTACACTATCGAATTACCTTACCCATGAGCTACTCAGGGCTGCTCGCATGCGTGCCTACTGAAATATTTAAATTATATTTTTATAATTTATTTTACTTGATCTAACCTTAACTAACCTAAAGAGTTTCCTATTTTCACATATTAGTTACTTTTATAATAATAAATAAAGAATAAACATGAAAAACAAGAAAGAGAGACCTTACATTTGTATTCTTTTTTTTTTTGTCTGTTGACTATCATAATAGCCTATCAAATCTACTGTGAGACCATATTTTTACATTACCATACTACCAAGAGTGTTTTCTTTGTTTTTTCTTGAAACAGAAAAGCAATTGCCAAAGTACTTACTTCAGCAAAATAAACAAGCAGAGAAATCAAATACTTATTATCATTATGTCGTACATAAAAATAAAAAAAATCATAAAGTCAGATTACTTCATATGATGAAGAAAGGCTTCAGACATAATAAACAACAGTTAGAAAATTTAAAGTCCATACAAGAAAGGGAAAGATGAGTTTTTTTATAGGTTAATAATGACATTTGCCCTCATAAAAACATGATACCAAGCTTGAAAATGATAAAAATACATTTTTTGAGCACTAAAAATAAATCTTAGAGAACTACAGATGTTAACCTTGTGCACTTTAAAAGAAATATCTTAATTTATAATTTAGTACATATTCTTAGTGAGCAAAATAGAAGTGATATCTCGAATCTGAAGGAAATTAAATTTTTTATAGGTTGTGTTCAACATAGAATTCTACACATCAAAAAGTGTGAAGTAACATAATAAACCTGCCAATATAAATAAACACAAAATTTTAGTTATTGTTAAGGATGTCACAAACTAATATCAGAAGAACTCTGTTTTTCAACACCATAAATGATCAAAGCTTCTTTGTAACATAATAAAGGTTTATTATTTATGCTTGGTGACTTATTGATAATAGTAACTACACAGCTTTAGAAATATGAAGTCCTCTATACACAAAAGCTTTATCTATAAAAAGTTTTGGACAACAATATGTCTAACTTTCACAAGCTAAAAAATCTTACCTGGGAAGGAAATATCTTCACTGCAACAAATTCATTTAACATTTGTGCTTTCCATACAGCACCAAATCTTCCTTGAGCTTTTACCTCCATAAGCTGCACTGGCCTCAGGCTAAGAGGTGAAGGAGGAGGAAGTGGAGAGGGATCAATAGTGGGAACTTCATTGAAGTAAGCCATTTTACGGTGTCTATATGCCCAGTAGGCTACAATGAGGACAAGAGTAATTCCTAACAAAGGTGCGAGTGTATATAACAATGTGTTAAGTACAGGATTCCCCCCACTAGCCATTGGAATAGGAACACTGGTACTGGATCTCACAGCTGGAAAAAAAAGTTTTTGTTTATTTTACACAAGTGAGATGACAACAAACACACACACACACGTCTCTGTCAGATTATTATTACGCAACTGTATTCAACTTAATTAAGTTTTGTATATCTTAAAGAAGCTCCCCATACCAATTTAGGGTTTTATGAACAGTTTCATTCTTTTGAATTATTTCATTTTTACAACACACCTGTCAAGTCACTTAAAAATAATATTAGCCATTAACAAGATTAAAGTTATAAATATCATATTTTTATTTCAAAAAAAGAGGTTGGAAAAAAAAGAATACAAATCATGCTATAAGCTTAACATACTTCTGCCATTTGTTTTCTTATACACCTTCTACTGATTACTGTAGCTTCAGATGCTGATAATAAATAAAATGTCTGTTATGCTAAACACATATTTAATTTTGGCTATAATTGATAAACTCATAAGTATATTTTAGTTCTTTAATTCTTTTATTTATTACTAACCTATAATGCACAGAAGTAGCATTTTCTTTCACCCTTCTTTTGAAAAAATATTGAGAAATGAATTCCTTAACCATATAGCGATTATAAATAAACCAATATTACAAGATTATTTATACCACAGCAAGTTTGTGGTAAACTACGAAATAAATTTTCCTAGACCCCAAACCTGATTGAAAAGTACACATGTTCTAAAAACTGAATTAATTCTACACCATACATTTCAATTAGAAAAAAAATGCACATTCCATTATTTTTACATTTTCTTTCTTCTTCATAACATATTTTGAATTTATGCTAATACTCTGATCATAGAATTTTCATTAATACTGCAATAATGGTTTGTTCACTGTGTTTGAATGGATGACATGATTTTGAAAAAATGTTTGGTATTTAAGTTATGAAATGAAAATATTACTTTTAATAGTTACTTTAGCAATTATTTACATTTCATATAATTGATGCCACCTGCATGGTATTATAAGGTAATATAAAACTTTCAATTAATGCTAGTTTTATTTCAATTTTACTGTTACTTTAATCAAGATAATAATTCATACATGCCAGTCTAATAAAAGATTAAATGAGTATGTCATTTCAGAAATTCAACAGAAAGCTAAAGCAAAATTTTAAGTTATCCAAACAAAAGTATCTAGTTGTAATAATCACTGTCATTTCACAAACTAGAATTTTAGTCCGATATACAAGAAAACTATAGAAGAAACACAGATATAATGAACATTTAATACATGATTCTATAATACCATTCTTACTGTACTTATGAGCTTCAAGTTATACTAGGATTAAATACTTGAACTAGCAATAATATTAACAAAATTTAAACCTTAACTTATTATAAATAGACTTTTGAAATAAGAATGAAAAACAAATCATAGTGTAACAAATACATATAATGACTCATGTCTGTCAATTATTAACCTAAATATATTTATCAAGCTTCACATAGTATGAAAATCTTAATTAGAAGTCAGTTCAAAATCAGGAGTGCAATTAGTAGGAAAATAAATTAAAGAGAGAAATATTACAACTCTTTCCAAATGGGATCAATGGATTACATGGACCTTTTAACCCAAAGTTAACCATCAGTTTCCATACTATACTTGTAATATGTTTTGTGTATCTTTGTGAAATCTAGCAAGATTTCATTAAACATTATAAGTTATTTGCACAATAAAAAAAATCAGATTTTGGTTAAGTATTTTTACTAAAGAATAAGAGTGTTGCCTGGTCCAAGTGCAAATTAATTTTCATGTTCAGAATAAAAATACTTTTCTTCACTTGAAAATCTTCAAATTTCATTTATGTAACATCTAGAATCTTCTAAATAAATACCAAACATTTTTTTCAGTTAATTTTTATATTTCATCAACCTTAAGTCGATATGGACTTAGTAAATTTGACTGACCTTGTAATTACTATAACAAGATATGAAAAAATTTAATTGCCTTTTTTTATTTCTGGAATGACTGTAAATTGTAACAGGAAACATTTGTTTATCTTAAATAAATTAAGTCTTTGAACCATCTACATAAGATTATACTTAAATTTATTGTTTTCTTGCGAACCATGTCTAACTAATAATTCTGCTTTACAAGTGGTAAATCACTTGGAGAACATGAAGCTCATGTTACTGTGTTGAATGATGTAACACACAAGCAACTTGTGAGCATACCTCATCAAGCATTATTATTTTTTGTTTCATTATCTTTCCTACTCTAACCTAATAAGTTACTAATTTTTACCTTTTAGTTTCTTTTATAATAACAAATAACAAATATACACAAGAAACAAAAAATATAGTATTTTCCCTTGATTTCTTGTTTTATGCTGTCAGTTACCAATGAAATTTAAGCCTACTGTTTATATATTGATTGTACTAGTACACTCAATAAATTTTATTTACTTAAGTAATGCACCTAAGAACACAAAATAATAACATGCACAATATAAACAACATCCTATAACTATTATAATTTAAATGGCTTTCTCACTATGACATAAGAGCCTTAAAATATTTCCCTAAGCTTCTCAATCTTAACATTGTGAGAGAAACTTCCAAACTGAAGACTGAAAACATCGTAATATAATACGCCATTTCACAGGTTAAAACTTTGTCTTTTTATTGATTATGAGTGGTATAATACAAAACATCAGAGAGAACTATTCCCAATTTGTGAAAGAGATGTTGCAAAATTGATGAAAAAAACAAACAAACAAAGACAATTGTACATTTCACAAATATTTCATTTATTAACAACAATGGTTTGGCCAGTAAAGGCATCATCAGGTACATGATCATGTTGAAACTTTGTAGAATGGATGGCAACTGCCTGTTGTAGAGACACAAGTGTGCCATCCATACTACAAAGTTTCATCATGAATACTCTGCCTAAACAATCTATCAGAATGATGTTACATGAATGTGGACGTGACAAGTGGGTTGGACTTTCTGTTCACATCACCATAAACAATGAAGACTGAAGGATAGAAAAGTTAGATTCTGCCTAAGTAACATATAAAACAATGAAAACTGTGTAACCTGAGCACTTTCAACAGCACTCAGGTTACAAGGTTTTTGTCATTTTATATTAAGACTTCTTGAACCTATGTGTTTTTCTGACATCATGAACCTAAGTAACATATAAAACAATAAAAACCATGTAACCTGAGCGCTTTCAACAGCACTCAGGTTACAAGGTTTTTGTCATTTTATATTAAGACTTCTTGAACCTATGTGTTTTTCTGACATCATGAACCTAAGTAACATAAATATTACATACATATTACAATGAGTAATATATGTTAAACTCCATGCTTATCAGAGGGGTGGTAAATAAATTAGAGAATGGGCAAGATCTAGAGAAAAAATGTGACAATTCTCATGCTAGGGGAGATTGACAATTTATTAAAACACAAATTTTATATAATATTAAAAGTTAATTTATTAACTACATATTATTGCCAAGTCTATTCATATATATTGATAATGAAGTGGTGTAATTAATCCTCTCACTATGGGCAGGACAAAGTGCACGTCATAAAGTTTTAGAAAGTTACATTCAAAATTTAATTAAACTACTTCATTATCATGGTATACAAATAAACTTGGCATAAAAGCACAGTTAATAAATCAAATTTTAATATACGTTTTAAGTTTATAAGGAAATATTTAAACAATTCTCATTCTCACTCTAATATGAGAATTGTGACATTTGTTCTCTAGGCCTTCCCTTTGTTTTAATATATTTACCACATCTACTAGAAGTGTGAAATTTAAACGTAAATTTCTTATTATAATATTGTTATCACTCAAGTAAAGCATAATTTTCATACCTTTCAACCTATTTAGTTACAGAGCCATCAAATAAAAAATCAGACCCCTTTTGTTATGCCCACCTGTCATATCCTCTCTTTCACAAACTGCCAATAGTTCTCCATGAAGTTAAATACTACATAACTTATAAGCAATCAAAAGTCAAAATCTTAATTTACCAAATGCTATATTATATTCTCCAAAGTTGTAGAAGATTCTCAAGAGTAAGAATCAACAATGTGTGTATGTAAACGTGATTTATTTAAGTAAATAAAAAATTATTGAGTATAGTAGTACCATTAGTATAAAAAGTGGGGTTATGTTTCATCGACAGCAGACAGCAAAAAAAAAAATAATCTAGATAAGTATTATATTTCTATGAGAATAACTGAAGTTTAAAAACTAGAAATCTATTAAATTAGGTATAATAATGAAAAATAATAATAAAACTTTTCACAGGGTATGCTCACTAGCAGCTCACGAGTAGCCTATGCCTCATATAATTTGATAGGGTATGTAACGAATTTGTTGTTATATATTTATTTTAATATTAACGTTGTTTGGATTGAGTTTATATTTAAAAACATGTATAGCTTGTAGTATTAGATATGTATTGCACAATTCCCGCCTATTCTCCAAAGTTGTAGAAGATTCTCGAGTGTAAAAATCAACAATGTGTGTATGTAAACGCTGTAACCAGTATTATTACGTAAAACTGAAGTTTCTAGAAAACGTATATAAATATAACTAACGTGACAAGTCAAGAGAGTGTCTATTATTAGTTCGCTATAATCGCTGTGCTATAAAACTTCGAAACCTATAACTGTGATTGTTATAATGCTTATCGATCGGAAAACTTAAGATATCTGACCAGGAATATTTATAAATTTCGAACATTACTAATCATTTAACTTCAGTGGATTCTCATTGGACATGAGTAATTTTACGAAAACATAACCAACTTCAACGGCAGAAAACAGCACGTGTGGCCAAGGGGACAAAGCTAGCTAACTTCCCGGTGAATCATACTTACATCAACTCGCTCACTATAAACCCTCGATAAGATATCAAGGAAGTCCCAGACTAGAAAGAAAACTTTATATTATTTGTAAGTTTGTGAAACTTTAGTTTATGAATCATTGTTTGTAATAACTATTTCTGATAATTGTTATTGTAAATTGTACTGTTGTGTGTATATTAAAACGTATTTGTGTTAAAAACGAAAACGGTGTGTATCAAACTTGTTGGCAAATATCGTAAATTGACTAATATTTCGGCTTATATTTAAATAACTCAAGTTGTAAATCACTTGGCGAATGTGTAGCTGAAGTTACCAGTTACGTATTAGAATTTTGAATAGTTTGAAGCTGAGTTAACTGATAATTTAAATTTAGTAGTTAAATTGTACTTTGGATTTAGTGTAAGATTATTACTCAGACAAAGTTCAAGGGGCAATAAAATTCAAGTAGAAACAAATGTATATTTCTACAAAATTTAAATTATTTAGGATTTATTTCCTATCTTTTATGGTGGTTATGACATCTGTCAAATAGGGTAGAGAAAATAACAGATAAAATACAAAGTTTTACAGAAAAAGTTTGAAACTTATTTAGGGTGTTTTGGAGATTAAGAAAATAAAATGCGACAACTTTCAGAGGAAGATAAGTATTTTCAGTGTTAGTCACCACTTTGACTCCATATACTTATAGAAATTTTTTAGTGAAAATACGTCATTAAAAATTATAATTTTTTCCCCCTACAAAAGACTTACCGAAAGCTTGCAAAGTCTTTATGAGGATATACAGAACATAAGTTATAGTATTAAAACTATAAAGGTCAACTTGGGGTCATGAATTTGTCTGCTTCAACCAAGCCCATAGTGAGAGTGTTAAACCTCGAATGTAATTCTGTAAAAGTCGTGACATGAGCACTTTAACCTACTAGTAGCAAGACGGTTAATGAATATCCTTACTGAATTTTACTTCCATTGTTAAGAAAGCAAAATAAATAATGAATAACCAGTGGTAAATAACTTTAAAATACATCAGACAAAATCAATGGAGTACAGGTATTGGAATGCAAAAGTCAAATACAAGAAGGAATTTGCTATCTTACTCATTATTATATGACACTAGTTTGAATACATATATGTCCACAAGAATAAATTATATATATTGTAATTCTTTACAGCTAAATAATGAATGGCATAAATCTATACAATTACCATCTTCACTGGTTGAAACAATTGGCACTCTGGTTATATTGCTGTTGCACATATCACCTTCACAACAGCAAAACAACAAGTTTATATTTGGATCTTTCTGAGTCTTTGTGCATTGTGATCCTGTAGTGCAGTCGTGTTTGTTACCCACCCAGCATCCTAAAATGTGGAAAAATGTAAAACTGGCTATTTAAACTTGTACAAATTTTGTAACACATAAATTATAGCTAGCTCACTTCGAGTCATGTATTCTGATATTTAAACTTTTGTCTGAAAAACTAATATTTCATCCCTATTTATAGACAAAATCTACAATTTTAATGTATAACAACACAATAAAAAAAAAACTTGATGCAATATAATGTCCTCTTTCTATTTCATAAAATCTAAATTCAAGTATAGTTGGTTATTAAATACATCAAATCAGAGCTAAAAAAAAAAAAGAGCTATTTTATTGTATTATCTGTCAGTTTATAAGCTAATGAATAACTAGTGCACTGTATACAGTTTTAACACCTGAACTTATAGAATAACTTATGATCACTAATATAAGAAACATACCTAAATGTATGTTTGATTTTAACCATACTAGTACCTGACATGAATAGCATTTGAAGCAAGTTATTACTTTAATCACTCATACAAAGATTGTTTAATTGGTTTACTGAAAATAATATTTGATGCAAGTTATTACTTTTCTATAACTGAAACGAATTAATTAGTTTTAAGAACTGATTTAATAACTGGTGCACATGAAAAAACAGAACAAAAATTTCATTATGCATGTCATACATTATGTATATGGCTCACCTTTTAGTTTAATACTGAAACCCTCTGGTTTTATTTGCCAAAGTATGTAACACTGGTTCCCCTTATCAGGACTTAAAGACTTACAATCCTCTGTTCCATTGCAGCCAACACCAAATCGGCTGTTCTTGCAAGCAGTTTCATTGTAATATTCACAATTCATAGAGTTAGAGACTGTTGTTGCTCTCACAGCTAAATGAATATAAAAATATAGTTATACAAATAACTTTATGTAAAATAGCTATATATCATTCTATTTATAATATTTGCATAATGGTGTAAAAAATTATTATTTTTGAAACTTTCATATAAACTGGTGTGGTACTGGTTACCCAAACTGTTTATAAAAAAAACAAAAAACTATCATTCCTGGATGTTTTAATGCCCAGAATAAAAAGCAAAAACTGCAAAACAAGACTACCAATACCTTAGGTCTTTTCAGCACAAAGTAAAGGTATCATGTGAGTTCATATAATAGACTAAAAACATAATTTTGGAATTTTTATGGACATTCCAGGAGTTAAGAGTAGCCTACAAACTGGTAGTTGGTACTGTTTACAAGCTTCCCTCTAGGCTATTACTTCAAAATTATAAACAGCTAATGCAGATAACCCTTGAGTAACTGCAAAAGAACTAGTACAACAAACTCATTTCACCAGCTTTAATGTGAGGGTATGTAATTGTACACATGAAAGCTGTATTTTGAAATGCATGATTGTGACCATTTGTACATTTCCTGTTAACTTTCTGATAAATGTTTGTATTTTATTTTTCAGTGTTTTCATAGAAGGTTTTTACATGCTCAATAGTTCTAATATTTTTATTTCAGTTAACTGTTATTTTCATGAAATAATTTTAGCAAATATAGTGGGTTAGAATAATACTTTTGTTTCTGTTAAATCAGATGATAACATTGAGTTCTTAGGTAACTGATATGTTTTGGAGAATAGTGGGATTGGACTATTACTCTTCTGATGCACCTAGAGCTTGCTTGTTTTTAAGTACACATTTACACAATGGGCTAACTGCACTCTGTCAACAATTGGAACTGAACCCCAAATTTGGCATTATAAGTCAGTAAAGTTAATGCTGACCCAGAGGAGCATTGGATGCATGGCAGTAACAGGATGGGAACCATAGATACACAGTCTGACATGCTAATCACTGTGCTGTGCTTGGCACTTTACTACCTATAATTTGAAAATGGCAAAACAATTCTCTGATTTCCATAACATTAACTACCAATTCTGTTTTGCATAAATTAAATCATCTCACATGTGCATGTAACCAGAAACTTCAAACTTTACAGCTAATTAAAACATGCAAAGCACCAAGAGTTTAATAATCAGCTTTCACTCAAAGTGTTAAAAAACTGGAAATATGTATATATATTTTGGGAGAGAATAATACAAAAAACTATAAATTATGTAATTCATTAGAACAAGCACACTTAAGAACTCTTTTGCATCAAGAGAAGTAGAACAAGATATGATATCATATCCTTCAGTGCTGTTGCATATGTTTCATTCTCGTGCTAAGCTGATGGAGATGGATGATAAAGATGAAAAATCACTTTCTTGCAAGTGAAAAAAACAATCAAACCAGAGCTGCTCTCAGTAGAGTGTATACCTCTGCTACACAATATTAGTCATAATTGGCTCACAAAAAATTAAGAAAAATGTGTTCATATGTCCATCGTTATCATTGGACATGGACAGAATAATATTTTACATATGTTCACCAGGTTTCATCAAAATCCAATCATTTTTGACTGAGTTACAGAGCAAAAATATTGTGAAAAATCAGTCCCCATGTTAACAGATCGGGATTTTTTTTATCTTCATGACCTTGTCCCTCCAAAAACTAATCACTTCTAAGTTAGATCATAATCCAAATGTATACCAAATCCATTTAGCTATTTTCAAGAAATCATACTGACAAACACGCACACACACGGGGATGAAAACATAACCTCAATCAACCTTTGGTGGCAGAGGTAAAAGTTATGAAACTGAATTAAAAAAATAATAATAATTATAGAAATCTACCTAATGAAAATAAATGAAAGTTATGCTTCATAAGAGATTTTCATCAGGATATCTTGACTGAAATTTTGCACAAAGCTACTTGAAGGCTGTCAGTACTAGCCATTCCTAATTTTGAAGTAATAAACTAGAAAGAAGGAAGCTAATTAACATCATTGATCCACCACAACATAACAGTACCCTCACAGCTGAAATGACAAGTATTACCAGCTATCATATGATCTACAGATTGTGAGTTAAGAACCCTAACCACCAGGCTATACTAGACCTGTCTCAGTACACAGATATACTACACTAAATTAGGGTTATTTTTAGGGTTTTTATGATATAAATAAAAACATTTTGTTGTACCTAGTTATGTTAATACACTACCACATGTGGCATCTCACCATTGAATTTATAGTTTTTACTTCTTTTTTTTTATTACACATGGTTTTCACAATGAAGTTCTCTTATGTTTCCCAGACCTTACTGAAGGAAAATTGCACACAACTTCAGATATACTTTTTTTTAATCTATCCAATGTTTTGACATAAAGTTTTGTAACCTGTGATGCTCAAAGACAGTCAAAAAAATACACAAGACATAATACCAAGTGGAATAAAAAACATTTAACCAAAGTTGTTTGACATCTTCCTTGAACATGGTTCCATCCTTCCATCAAAAACTTTAAAAAGTAATAAAAGTTCCCAGACCTTTCCTGATCAAAATATGTTATTCCCCAACTATTAGATCCATAGTTGTAATGTATCATTGAATTATTGACTGTAATAATATGTGAAACTATTATTACAATATTATTAATATATTGTTTAATAGAAAAATAGCCAGGCTTTATGTAAAGAGTCACAGTTTGCTCAAATGTTATCTTGAAATGTTTCAATATGATTGGTCACAAATTGCTGAATATTTTGATTAATGTATTTTAGTTTTTCAAGAACCTCTTTTCAAACTTGAAAACTGAATATACAACTTTCAAGCTGCCCTGTGAATCTTTAAATAACATAAGTAATATCATATTAGTACAGTTGTAACAAATATACCAAGTGGCAAGTATGATAAATATCACAAGTACGAGAACACAAATACAAATATTTATTCATTAATACAGCTGTAAATTATAACTGAAATTTTGCCCACAATCAAATAATATATTCAATCTCAACAATATTCTTCAAAAAATATCAAACCAATGCTATCACCTTCCCTGTACTTTATAAAAACCAAATAAACTGTGCCAGGGTGGAGGTAGGTTTACAACTTATAATTTATTTATTCTTTGTTACTCATAACTATCATAGCAGACAATTCTTTTTGATACACCAAGGGTGTAGTTTCAGATTCACTGTCACAAACAGCTTGGTAGTAAGGGAAGCGTTAACTCAAAGAATCCAACATCCTTGAAAAGAGATTGGTGTAGCATGACAGAATTACTCAGGTTCGGGGAATGTAATGCATTAGAAACTTAACCCTACCAACATGGATCAAAGGTCATGTCATCGTGTCTGTTCAAAATTTTATTGAACTACTATTTTATGAATGTATGTCAACAAGTTTGATATCAAATTGTTGATTATAATTCAAATCTTAGTATTATACATTAGTTAATTTCTTAATTTGAAAGTATATATATTAAAAAAACACACCTAAATAATGATTTTTGTGTGCCATGTGGTATGTTGAATGCAGCATTGGTTCAGAGTAGATGTTTGTGATGTCCAAATACAAAGTCTATAGTTTTTACAAACTAGGTATTCAAATTACTGATACTGATAAGCTAGAATATAAGATAAGAACCTTCTAGCTTTTCTATTTTCTGAGATATTAATATATCTATTGAATTTACCAAGATGGCCCCACCCACATAATTTTTGGAAATACTTGCTCATGTACACCTACTTCACCCAGTGATGTCTGTATAACCAATCAAAAGCTCAGAATGTCCCCTAGTGGTTTTCTCAGCCTCTTTGAAGTACTTGTGCAGGGAAACCCTTTCTTTTTCTGGCAGATTTCAAACGATAAGGTAAGTCTTTAGTGAGCTCAAAATTTCATATTTTTTTAGACCAAGTACGACGTAGTTACTAAGCTTTATAAATTATAGTGTAATTCTATGGTACTGATACAGTAATTTATGATTTTTGGTTATTTCAAAATGTATATATAAAACCTAACAAAAACTTTAGTTTTACAACTTCCACATGCAAAATTTGATAAGGTTAGCAACTTACGGCAAGTAGCAAATGAGTACAAAGTTTGTAACTAGAAGAGATAAATGTCTTTGTATAGTTCTGTATTTCTATGTTTTAAGAAAATAACTGGAGTTTAAGAACTTGTTTGTAAATAGTAATAATGTATTATAACTGAAATGTGATGGTATTTTATAAAATACTAGTCCACTAAAACACAGCCAAGACAGGTCACTCTGTGAAGGGTAATTTTATATTCTTGGATACAGTAACATGATTGCATGTGTGCTGCATCATTACAACTTCTGTAATGTTAGCCAGGCACAGCTGAAAGGTCAATAACATAAAAATAATAAATATATATATTGATTTATAATGTTATGAGATTGGAGCTATTCAGACTAAAAATTTGTATTTTCGTATTATAATCTGTAGTCATTCTAGAACAAAAAAAAAAACAATTTTTTATCCATTTCCTAATTTTTGTGGTGGTTACGAGGTTGGTCAAATCGACCAAACCCATTAGTGAAAATAACATATAAAAGATAAAGTTTTTTTCTAAAAAAAAGATTTGATAATTATTTGGAGGTTATAAAGATTTTGCCTGTGAAATTTGAAAATTCTCTGATGCATAAAAGTATTTTTAACAAAAAAAGAAAAATGCATGAAAAAATATTACTTAAAAAATGTGACATTTTGCGTACAAAAGCCTTGCAATGTTTAATGATAATCTGCAAAATTTCACAAGATATGCTTACTGTTTTAAAAGTTATAGCATGTAAACTATAACAATGACAAAATGGATACAAGGTCAGTCTCTGGGACCAAACCCATTGTGAGAGAGTTAACCGATCTTTCACGGGATAGGTGGTATCCACCCAGCTCGTAACCAGAGTAATACTATGATTTTTGATAATGTAAGAGTATCTTTACAAAATTTTTCAGATTATTGATAAACATT